CTCACAAAACTTCAAATAATTATTATACGAGTACAATTCAACATTCATAGAAGTAATCGCATGTGGTCCGCACTGCTTCAGCTCCACAGTCACACAGCATTTGCTGTACGTGGCTTAACGGCGCTACGGAAAAGGCCGTTCGAAATTAGCCGGGCAGTAGCATTAAACATTGTAGAGCTACTGCTACTGACTGACACTCGATGCGGATTAGAGCGATTTCAACTAATAAAACTGTTGACCGTTTGTGCGAATATCAAACGATGCTAATAAAATAGCGCTCATCCAATGGAATTGCCCAGGTCGACACGGGCCATGAAGCCACCGAGACATGGCAGTGCGCTCCGCTTAGTTTTAGTTAAAATATTATTTAATGCAATAATTAATTATTCTTTTTATTATTGTTATTATTATGAAAATATATTTAATATTTAAGTATGAAGCGTTCGTTAGCTTGCATATGAGCAAATACAACTGTTAAACGCTGTTTAACACACATTTTAGCACTTTGTAATGCAGCAACCGAAAGTACTTGAAAATGTAATTAATTATTGCATTGCTTTTAAACAAAATAGTTTATAAAATATAATTTATTTAACTAAATTTATAAGCATTACCGCGCATAGATCGTTTATATACACATGCGGTGTACTTGAAGTTCATTATTTTTATTAGATTTGCGTTAATACTCAAGTAAGTCGATGGAGATATAAAAACAGCTAAACTGTATTAAATTAGCAGTTTTGCTAATATTTTTTTTCGAAAACAGTTTTAAAATTAATAACTTTTGTAAGTGGATTTTATGTCGACAGACAGAAAATTTTTATTATTAATTACTTAATATTGTTTTGAGATGCGCAAACCCACATCAAAATAATATAATTACTGAATAAACTCAATGCAAGCATTGCTATTTGATTCATATGTGGATAAAATATATGTAAAATGCTTTGTAGTGGAAACTCCTGTCCGCTCTTGGCAACAAAAACTGCTTCTGACCTTCATTCAAAAGTTAAGTTCCCTACTATTTGGCTCAAGACAGAAGTAACAGAAATTATCGATGGATGGATCGCTGAGCTGAGATCCAAATGAAAACCTAAATGCATACATTTAATGTATAACACATAAGCAAGAGATACGGACTGCTATCGGTCCCTCACTCACTGACGCTTTGAAAACTACAATATGTGATACTCACATATTGTATACTCAGATTTTCATTTTTATTTGCATTTTCAATATCGACTTCTAGCGACCATACAAAACATATACAATAATGTTGCAATAATCTACTAATTAATATTTTCATTATTTCAATTATGAGGTTTTATATCGTACGCCAATAGTAAATTTTTGGGCTGATCATACGACTGTTTCTGACATCGACATACATCTACTATCACTGGTAATTTAAAGAATCTGTTTGTTTAATTATCCGTATGCAGGTTTTGGACTAGCAGTGTTATAAAATTGAACACTGATAATGTTGAACTTTCGAATTTATATAACATATTTATATAAATAGGACTATATAGTATACAAGACAAAAGACAAGACTAAATTCTATGATATAAAAATAAATATTTAACAACTTTGTTAAAACTATTTCATGCAATAGAATGCTGCAGGTTATAGCTTTACTATATTAACAGTATCCACCCAATATGTGATGATTCACATTCACGATATCTACTTTCTTCTTCAAAGTTTTTCTTTTAAAAATATAGCAAACATAGCAGTAGATATTTTTGGTTTCTTGAAAAATGACAGAGGTACCTTGTCTCTTAACGTAGAACTTCTACATAACTGAAGCTGACAGGAATAATTCTTCAAAGTTCAAATTATTCACATCTGTTTCGTGTTTATAGAATACAGGAACAAGTTCAGTTTGAATTCTTAGAGAGAGACAGTGTACAATCCTGGTAGATTGTCTCTTTATAAAGCTTCTTTTGACGGTACGCAGATCTTAGTCTTCGAATAATTACGAAGCTTTTAAAGAATACATAAATTATTTAGTGAGATGGGTGAGACTCTGCAGAAACTTCCCAGCTATCAAAGAGTAAAAGTGCTCAGATGCACTAACTCGAAAAAGACTCAACATGAACTTGTATAAGTTCTGGAACAATAAACAACAAACTATACTAACAAAAGTCAAGGGCTCGCAGAATATACGTATTTAAGTTGAACACAGCGCTTCTCAGTATTACAATAGTATATAATATTTTATGTATATTATCTATTTATATATTATTTAAATGTTATATTATTTTTAATGTTATAATACGTTTTTTAATATTTTAATTACAATTCGTATTTATTATATTTTAAACGTTATTTTAACTGAACGAGAAAATTGTAAAAATTATTAGAAATGTGAGTACGTACGAGAGTTCATTTGTTTACTAGAAGTAAACAAATTTTGTAAAGAAACCTTCTAAGCATTTATTGCCCAATAATTAATTAGGTGTGCCTACTACTTGAAATGGTTTTTATGATTAATTTGAACTTCAGAATTCCCCGCTTCTATCAGATAGAATATGAGCATAATTTTAATTATCATTGAATCTCTGTGTAAGTTTTGGAGTTGATTCATCTATTTCAATGAAATGAACTCAATGAGAAGGTAAGTTCGGATTTTATGCAAGACGAGTATTAGATATATTAATTTAAAACTTTTATGTAGATATATATATCGTATATAAAACAACTAGAAAATCAAACAAAACTCATGTGAATAACCTGCAAAATTTTAGGGTGTTTTTAATTTAATTTAGTGATTGAATCTTTTTTAATGACAAATTTTTATTTTTGTTAAGAACAATTTCGCACAATTGCAAAATATCAGGAAATTCTTTTCAAAGACGTGAGATTATATTTCTAGAAGTCTTTTTGTTATTGATATATATATGTATATATAAATAAATCATAATGTCTGCAAATTTGTAGATGAAGGATTCCCCTCTATGATGTGAGTGCTTTAAACCAGTGTGCAGTATAAGATATTTAACTATTTTATAAGAAAACAACTGTTACTCCGCCTCCTACTAAAATAAATAATGAATTGAATTTATAATTTAATTAACAAATACGTAACGAACGATTTAAACATTTGTATTATTAGTTTTAATTTTTAGGTTGATTTAAATGTGTGTTTGTTTAGAGCGGTTAAAGTCAAATTGTTAATATTGTAGGATTCTGTAGAATTATTAATTGATGTGTTATATGATTTATATATTATAATTTATTATATTTTAATCTATTGTAAATCATATTGTATAATTAAATTATTATAATTAATATATTATATAATTCATATATATATATAATATTTTATATGGTTAATATATGGTTAATTAATTTATCTAACTAACCCTGTATAAGATGTAATCAAACCAACGGTTCTAAGTCTTGTTTTATAGCCTTTTGTTTTTTGCGCTCGAGATGAGCAAATTTTATTGTTATATTTTTTGGCTACAAGTAAACTCCGTTGGTTTGATTCTGTCTCTTGTTTTTCGATCGCGAACGTGTCAACACACGGGTACACATAAAAAAGTGATTAAACAATCAATAACCGAAATTGTATAAATTCAATTGTATAAATTAAATGAAATCAAACCCCAATTATAACACGTTTATAATTTACATTGTGTTAAAGAAATTGAAATAAAGATCATAAAACCTAATTATAAAAACGCTTATAATTTACATTGGCGACCGTGACAGGACTTTTTGCAATTTTAATAGTGGTTATTAATCTCCAATTTGTTAAAAAATCTAAATATTACCCACGTGTGGTAATCATTTTTTTTTATTAAGTTTGTAATCATTAGTGTACGCGTGTGTGCATTTCTTCCACACGGCTATTCTGTGGACTGTCGAACGTATATACTATTGTGCAATTGGTGGTTCTCGGTTTAGGTCCGCTAACCTCAAACCAGAACCTCGTGTCCGCATCAAGATCGCGCTCGACATTACAACAACAAGATACCTTTACTTGTTGATTGTACATACTTTCGCTGTTATTGTTTTTGGTTAATTTGTAACCATTAAAGTGCGCGTGTGAATATTTCTTCTAACCAGTTATATAGCTAACGCGTGCTAACCATTATAATATATCGTACATCTATATATATATTACCTATGTACTATCGTACGTATATACTCTTGTGCAATTGGTGGTTCTCGGTTTAGGTCCGCTAACCTCAAATCAGAACCTCGTGTCCGCATCAAGGTCGTGCTCGACATTTAAAATAACAACAACAAGCTATCTTTACTTGTTGATTGTACATACTTTCGCTTTTATTGTTTTTGGATAATTTGTAACCATTAATGTGCGCGTGTGAATACTTTTTCTAACCAGCTATATAGCTAACGTGTGCTAACCATTATAATATATCGTACATCTATATATATATTACATATGTACTATCGTACGTATATACTCTTGTGCAATTGGTGGTTCTCGGTTTAGGTCCGCTAACCTCAAAATAGAATCTCGTGTCCGCATCAAGGTCGTGCTCGACAGTTAAAATAACAACAACAAGCTATCTTTACTTGTTGATTGTACATACTTTCGCTTTTATTGTATTTGGTTAATTTGTAACCATAATGTGCTCGTGTGAGTATTGCTCCTAAACGGTTATATATCTAAAGTGTGCTAACTTTAATAATATCGTACATCTGTACATATATACTATATACTATCGTACGTGTGTACTATTGTGCATTCTATGGTTCTCGGCTTAGGTTCTGCTAAGCGCCAAATAGAACCTCGTGTCCGCATCAAGGTCACGCTGAACAATTACAACAACAACAACAAGTAAACTTACTTGTTGATTACTGGTTAATATTTGCTTCCAATCAGTAAGTGTGCGGGTCGTCAACGTCGCGTCTGACAACAACCACCGTAAGAGCAGTTCAATTTCGGAAAGCTCACTGTTGCTATTGTGACTTTTCGACTTCGTCAAATCCTTTGCTGTTCTCAAGTATCTACAACTGTTTCAATGGCAACGGCAGAGCCAACCACTACGGCAGAACTGTCAGAACTAAAACAACAGCGAGCCTCGACGAAAGCGAGTATTTCAAGAATCAAGGCGTTCGTCAAGGGAAAGAGTAATTCGCTCTCACAACCAGAACTGAAATGTCGACTAGGTATTTTAGAATCATATTTTAAACAAATCTTAGCTTTTCAGACGTTGATCGAGAAATTAGATGCAACTGACTCAGCTAGAGATGAATTAGAAGACCTATACGTTTCCACCAAAGTATTAATCATGTCTCAACTGCAGGAAGAGGCCCACAATGCATCAGTGCTAGACGTAACAGCAATGATGCCCACCTCAAGTAAAAAAATTACCACTGTTAAAATTACCTACATTCAGTGGTAAGTACTCGGATTATAACAATTTTATTAATTCGTTTCTCCAAATCATAGATCGCGAAATATACCTCACAAATATTGAAAAATTTAATCACTTACTGAATTGCCTTACTGGTCAAGCTCTAGAGACAGTACAGGCATTTCCTATTTCGAATGAAAACTATCCAAAGGCTCTGGAGAGGCTTAAATCGCGCTATGACAATAATAGCCTAATCTTCGCCGAAAATATCGCGACACTATTTGATCTACCAGCAGTATCGGGTCAGTCAAGCCAACAACTTCGTAGTCTGGTAAACAATGCATCCGCTTTGTATGGTTCACTCTGTTCGCTAGGTACAGAGAAACAAATATGTGAGGCTCTACTTATCTCGCTAATCATGCAAAAAACGGACGCAATTACACGTAGGAAATGGAATGAATCGCGTAACTTTGACACATTACCCAGTTGGGAAGATTGCTCAAAATTGTTGGATAGACACTGCCAGTTTCTCGAATCACTTGACAGTGGAAACGGCAATCAGTCATCATCACAACGTAAACCTAATAGTCTTAACTCCAAGACTAACAGACGCTCAAAACAATACGCATTTGTTGCATCTACATCTAGCAATTCTTGCTCATTTTGTTCTAGCAATGAACACCTAATACAGAATTGTCATCGTTTTAAGGCACTGGAGGTGGTTCAAAGATTTGAAAAGGTGAAGAGCCTAAAACTCTGCATAAACTGCTTATCGCCACGCCATCATGTGGTTAATTGTACATCAACGTTTAAATGTAAGGTTTGCGCAAAGCCACATCACACTCTCTTGCATCATTCGCAATTGCCAACGAATATTAAGAGCGCGGGATCATCACGACGCACAGAACACGCTGCTATGCCCAACGACAACGTTGCCAGCCATTCCCATCTTAATATGTCATCGGCCGAGCAAATAATTCTTGCCACGGCATTGGTTTTAGTGAAGGATTCATCGGGAAGTTATCAAGTGGGTAGAGCCTTACTTGATTCATGCTCTCAGGTCAACTTCATAACGGAGGAGTTTTCAAAGAAGCTTAGTTTAGCAAAACATAAACATCGGTTGCATGTTTCCAGTATTGGTAGTTCGTTGACCAACATTAAGTATCAGACGCTCACATCAATCAAATCTCGTCATTCAAATTTTGAACTTGCTTTAAACTTTGGTATTACGAATCACATCGCATATCAACCAAGTTCTGAAATCGATATATCGTCGTGGAAGGTTCCACCAAATACACCTCTCGCCGATGAGCAATTCTTTAAATCCAAGCGCGTTGATCTTTTGCTTGGAGCTGAAAGTTTCTTTGATATTTTGTCTGTCGGTCAAATCAAACTAGGTGAAAATCTTCCAGTACTTCAAAAAACACTATTAGGATGGATTGTATCTGGCAAGTACAAGGGTCAGCCATTTGCATCACCAGCAGCAAAATGCCTATTATCAGTTGAAGATACAGTCTCCGATCAATTAGAAATGATGTGGAAGATAGAGGAAGTGCAATCGGCTTCAAAATCATGGTCACCAGCACATGTTGCGTGTGAGTCATTATATCGTGAAACGGTTCACCAAAATGCGATGGGAAGAATTGTCGTTCGGTTACCATTCAAAGATTCACCAGATTGTCTTGGTTTGACACACAATATCGCCTTGCGCCGTTTTTATTCTGTAGAACGGCGATTGTCATCTAATCGTGCACTGAAGCAAGACTATCAAGAATTCATGAAACAATATCGAGAGCTCGGACACATGACGCGTGTTGAGACTCCGAAAACCAACGAACCTCATTATTATATCCCTCATCATTGTGTTTTAAAACCGTCGAGCACTTCGACCAAGCTGAGGGTGGTTTTTGATGCGTCATGTTCAACAACTTCGCAACGTTCATTAAATGATATTCTACTGGTCGGCCCGACAATTCAGCCGGAGTTATACTTGTTGCTACTTCAATTTCGTTTGCACCGATATGCCTTGACGGCTGACATTGTTAAGATGTACCGACAGATACTGATAGATGAACCAGATCGAAAATTCCAATATATTTTTTGGCGAGATACGGAGTCCGATCCTGTTAGTACTTACGAGTTGAATACAGTCACTTATGGTACTGCATCAGCACCTTTCCTAGCAACCAGGAGTTTGCAGTATTTGGCGGACAAATTTGAAACACAATACCCAATAGGCGCTGCACTCATTAAATCATCGTTCTTTGTCGACGACTTCTTAGGTGGAGCAGATTCCATTGATCAACTCACCAATATCAGACATCAGTTAACGGCCATTCTACAGAAGGGTTGCTTCGATCTTGACAAATGGCATTCAAACCATCATGACTTCATCAGCGATACTACAACAAAGAGTTTGAATCTTGATACAGATACAGTCACCAGCGCTCTAGGCATCAAGTGGCACCAAATGCAAGATGTTTTCCTATTTTCGTTTAATGCGCAACCAGGTCATATTGTAACAAAACGCACCATCTTATCCCTTGCGTCTTCATTATTCGACCCGCTTGGATTACTAGCACCGATCATACTCGTAGCCAAAATTATGATGCAAGAATTGTGGCTTTTGCGTGTGGACTGGGACGAGTCAGTCCCTCAAAATCTTCACTCAGCTTGGAAAACATTTATTCAAGATCTTACAACGCTTTCATCGGTTAAGGTGCCGAGATACTGCCTATTCATAAACTATCAACAGGTTGATGTACACGGTTTCTGTGACGCTTCAATACGCGCATATGGTTGCTGTATATTTCTCCGATCACAAAACACATCAGGTAAGGTGACGGTCAGGCTATTCACTGCAAAATCCCGTGTGGCACCTATAAAGCGGAAGTCGCTACCTAAACTAGAACTCTGTGGTGCCTTACTTCTTGCCAAACTGTATCAGAAGGTCCAACCAATATTTGCGCAATTTAAGGGTGAAACGTTTTTTTGGACTGATTCACAGATTGTATTACATTGGTTGAAGCAGCACTCATCAACCCTGTCTGCATTCGTTGGCAATCGAGTAGCGGAAATTCAAGATATTACCGCAAATGGGCAATGGAGACACGTTCCTACCCAATCCAACCCGGCAGATGTTGTGTCGCGCGGCTGTAACATCCGCCAATTATCAGAGTCTTGTTGGTTTACGGGGCCGGAATTTTTGTTACTCGCTGATAAATACTGGCCGCATTTGAAATGTCACAACCTGGATATGGAAGAAGTCAATAAAGAGACGCGAAAGGTTGTATTCGTTAACACAAATGAAGACAACTACGTATTACAGGTATTGTCAAGATATAGTTCATACACTAAGATGCTACGAGTAATAGCGCAGGTACAGCGTTTTTATCATGTAACCAAGAATAAATTGAAGAACGGAGAATGTACCCTCCAACCTATTCAGCTACAAAAGGCATTGCACTGTATTATTTGGGTCATCCAACAGCAATTCTTCGAAATTGATATACAACGCCTACAACGAGGGAACCCAGCCGAAGGTACATTAAAGCATCTAAATCCCTTCCTGGACAATGTATTCGGTTATCAATTACTAAAGGTGGGAGGTCGCCTCGAGCTGAGTGACATCTCAGTAGGCCAACGTCACCCTATTTTGTTGCCGAAGGGCTGTTATTTTGTGGAACTTTATGTTCGGCATATACACTTGTGCAACTATCATGCAGGCGCAAAAGCACTAATTGCCCTTACTCGACTAAACTTCTGGATAATTAATATTCGAGAAATTGCATGCCGAGTCGTGCACTCGTGTATTCACTGCGTGCGTTATAAACCCAAACTACTTAATCAAATGATGGGTAATCTCCCAATCGAACGCCTCACTCCAAGCCGTCCATTCGCGCGTACTGCGGTAGATTTTTGCGGTCCGATATTAACGTATCTCCGAATTCGGGGACGGGTTCCATATAAGACCTATATAGCCGTGTTCGTTTGTTTGTCTACAAAGGCAGCTCATCTAGAAGCCGTGTCAGACTTATCTACGGAGGCATTTATTGCAGCACTGAAAAGGTTAATCGGTAGACGAGGGTTACCATCAGACATCTATTGCGATAACGCCACAAACTTCGTTGGGGCTAACAACAAACTAGCAGAGTTAAAAAGGATGTTTTTCGAGAAGT